ATATTCATATCCGAAATTTAAGATCATGTTGGCTTGGGATTGAAGGTATGGGCCTTTTGGACAAACCAACCTAAACCCATAAGTATTTTTTGTTGTCACGTGTTACATAAATATATTAGAGTAAATTACACATACCTTGAAGTTTGAACAAATTTCATACCAGTAGAGTGTTTAAGATTTATTATTTTGACTTTCTTGATATTTGGGTATATGCTCAACAACCTCCTCCACCCCTCTCCATTAAAACTTGTAAAAAAAATTCATAAAATGATCAAGTTGCTCTTACACTTAAATTTTTTATTTATTTACAAGATTTTTTTTAGGAGAGGATAACGATGGTGGAGAGGAGATAGAAAGTTTTTTTATTTATTTACAAGATTTTTTTTAGAAGAGGATAACGGTTTCATTTCATTACAACACAATTTGACATGTTTGAACTCGAATTGTCTACACAGTGAATACATAGGAGCAAGCACGGATCTGTGAAGGGCTCGGTGGGAGCATCCGCCCCCACTGAAATTTTTTATTATTGCATTTTTGACTCCTGAATTTATACTTTTTTGCATTTATACACATAAAATTATGCAATTGCCCTCACTGAAATTATGAAAAAACCTCTCTATATAATTTTTTCCTTATATGAATTTCTAGATCCGTCCTACGGAGGAGTTCAGTCTTTCATGGACATTAACTTTTGAGAAAACTAGATTTGAAGGAGAGAGAAAATACAAGCAGTTGCTTTTCTTACATGTATACTAAAAAAAAATTTACAAATTCATGTAGAATGATTTCAAAGAGGATACTTTTTACAACTTCTTGCGACAATCACTCAAAGAGTAAAAAAATTATAGAGCCATGTTCCTTACCGTGCTTGTGATATATATTGTGGCCCGAATTTTATTTCAGTGTCGGCCGCAATTTTTACCTCAAAATAAAAGAAAAAAAAAATTCTAACCGTTTAATCCATCCGTTTTTTTTATGGGGTATGAATGTAATTCAATATATAAGAGTGTTTAAGGTTTGAAGTGTAATTTGAGAGAACACAGATAGTCGCAATGAACTAAGTCGATCATTCATAGAAAAGAATATTATAGTGCATGCAGTGAAGGTAAAGTTTCCATCATATAGCTCGACTGACACAATTAAGGAACATTGAAGCAGCCAACATAATTAAGAACAGGGCTGCAATTTGGGCGGGCTAACCCAGCCCAACCCAAGCCCAATCCAAAAATTTAAAATTTGGACTTTAAGTTTACAAATCGGGTTCATGTTCGGGTTGAATTTTGTCAAAACCCAGACATATTCGGGTTGGACTCGGATTCAACCCGAACCCAACCCAAAACCCAAAAATAAAAATAATTTTTTTTTTTTTTTTTTGTTCTCTCTCCTCCCCTCTCTCTACTGCCGTCCCCATACATTCAAGTTAGCAGTTGCAGAGAGAGAGAGGGGGGGGGGAAGCTTGAGAGTTGAGAGAAAGCGGTTGAAGCTTGCGAACGGCGAACCCGATCTAGAACAGGGTGAGGGAAACTGAAAGATCTGGGTTTTGATTTTTTGAACAATCTGAAATGATATGCCGATATGGGTTTTGAACTTTTGATTGTTGCAGACAGATAGATGAAACTGAAATATATGGGTTTTGAAGTTTTGATTCTTGTAGATTTTGTAGTTTGCAGTTGTTGCAGAGAGAGAGAGAGGGGGGGCAGCAAGGGTAAAGAGGCGACAAAAAAACTATAGAACTTATCTGAAATATCCTTTCAATGGCAATAGTCAAGGCAGCCTCAGATTGACACCTACGGAAGACCCTTCTATGAATCTTAGGGAGGTAAGGAAGAAGCAGCTAAGAGACCTTGGATCCATGGTTTGCCTTTAGGCTCAGTTTGGTAGAGTAGAAATGGGAGGAAAGGGAAGGGAAGGTGATGGAGGGTAACTAAAAAATTGTGTTTGGGTAAAATGGGTGGAAGGGAAGGGAAGGAAAGGGAAGGGTTTGGAGGGTTATGCATAGCCTTCCACAGTGATTTGTTTAACCTCCCAAAAATGGGAGGAAATGGAAGGAAAGGGAAGGTAATGGTTGATGATGCCAATTTTACCCTCAAATCAATATACATACAAGATAGCAGTTGCAGAAAGAATGGAGAGACGGCGGGCAACGGCGAACCCGAACTGGAACAGCGGCGATGGCGAACCCGAACTGGAACAGCGACGATGGAAACTTGAAAGATATGGGTTTTGATTTTCTGAACAATCTGATATACTGATACGGGTTTTGAATTTTTGATTCTTGCAGACAGAAAGATAAACTGAAATATATGGGTTTGGGTTCTGAACTTCTGAATCTTGTAGAGAGAGAAAGAGAGAGAGAGTTGAGAACGATAATAGAGATGGAGGCCAAGATTGGGAAGGCTGAAATGATTTGCCCTGGATCGGAACCTTCAAGAACGAAGGTGCTACAGCCAGATCTGGATCGCCCTTGTTCAAGAAAGAAATTTTTCTTTCCTTTTCTTGTTTCTTTCCTTTTATTATATATATATATATATATATATATATATATATATATATATATAATGGGGATGGAGGTGAGAATGGGGAGCTGAAATGATTTGCTTTTTTTTTTTTTTTTGCAAGTATACTATATATATATATATATATATATAATAAGGGTATAATAGTAAATTTATTATTATCCTTTCATTTCCTTTCTTCTCCCAAATATAATTATTATCCTTTCCTTTCTTTTCCTTCATTGACTAACCAAACACAATGGAGGGTTAAAATAATCCTTCCTTTCCCTTTCCTTTCCTTTCCCTCATAACTAATCTTATCCTCCCCCTTCAAATCCACCGTACCAAACATACCCTTAGAGAGAGGCGATTGGGGAGGCTAAAATGATTTGCCTTAAATAAAATATATAATTTGTTGTTAATAATAATAATGTAATCAAATATATATATAATATATATATATATATATATATAAATTTTTAAAAAAAAACTCAACCCGTCAATCCGATCCAATTCGTCCAAAAATATTCAGGTTGAATTATGACCATAACTCATGTTAAATACAATTCGAGTTGGCCCAATCTAACTCGATTCGAATTGTGACTGGACTGAATTGGATCAACCCAACTTACATCCTAATTAAGAATATACTGAGTTTTTTTTTTTTTTTTGCGACTCCACTTTCTAAGTTTCACTATCAGCCGTCATTTTAAATAATGATAACCAAAAGGATGGCTTTATGCATAAAAGATTCATGTAAGGCACAATATTACAATATTCCATCCATCTGAAGTATATTCTATTGGTGACGAGCACTCCTCTTTAATTGAAAAAATATTGAACCTTCCGAAAAAAACAAAAATTATTGAAGTACTAATAACGTCAACTGTTTTTTTGGAAGTTCAAATAAATATACACTGAATATTGTTTGGACTCGAATATTCGACTATCAAGGGATCGTACCTTTAGACTAACGCTTATAATATTAATTAAAATTGGACTCTATAAAATTGCCCTGTTAAGCAATTGGACTGCGATATTAATTATATACATATTTTTTTTCTCGCTGATCTTGGTCATTAAAAGCCTCCTTGTACAGTTGCAAAATCAACTTGCAAGTTCATCATCCTCTTCCAATCACAATATAAAAATATAGAAAGAGAAGAGGAGAGAGAAAAGAAAAAAAAAATAACAACTTGCTTTTGTTCGTACTGCAAATTGATTTATAATATAACCAAGTTGGGGTAGCTGTGTTGATTCCTCCATCACGACTATTATTTTAAAGTAGCTTTTGAATTTTTCATGCATGCCCTAATATAAAATATTTCTATATATTTTTTACATGTTTTTTTTAAAATATAAATCGAGTGAAAAGTTCAAATATTCCTTCTAAAAAGATATGGGGTGTTTAGATATTTCTCTTGCTTGCAGTTAGAAACGTGAAACAATTAATATTTTAATTGGTAGAATAACAAAAAAGTAATTAGAATAAAGAAGAAAAGTGTAACGTAAATGAACCCCACTTGCATCCCAAAACATATATTTATTTATGAAGAAAAAAAAAAAAAAAGTGTAACGTGAACTAATCACGCTTGTCAATATATAGAAGTGTTTTATTTTACAAATTATCTGTCACGAAGAAATTATATTACCAATACAAACTTAATAACCTTGATCAAGTGGGAATTTTGTAGCATACTAACATGTTTTTAGTGCAATGTAGAATGCGAATCTTTATGGTCAAAAGTTGCCAACCGACACTGTTTTTACATTAATGAAGTTTATAAGCTATAACCTATGGGCTAACAAGAAAACTTAGTTACCTACAGCTAATTTATCTAGCTACAAATTGATAAATGTGTTATTAAAACAACAATCACATCTTAGCCCATTAGGCCGGCTGGTATGGTCAGCGAATTAGGTTATTTCTGTTTGCGTGTTCATATCATTCACACGTATTTACGTATCACTCAGATGTAAATATATTAATCAAGTTAACTCACGCCTATATATACTGTCGTGCTATACTCAAGTGAGTAATTTGAGCTTATGTATCAAAAAAAAAAAAAAAAAAACAAGTGAGTAATTTGAGCACAAGTTTAATTTAATAATTCAATTGTACCAATAAAAAATAAAAATAAAATTCACTTGGCAAATTTATCATAATTTGCTAATTCAATTGTAAAATATGGATGGATGTTTATATACACATCCAACACGTGTGTATCATTATCATCACGTCATTAATAATATTAAAATCCATATCTTAAATACAATAAACCGAGAAACAAATTAGTTAAATACTTTAGATTAATGCAAGGGTTTATATATATATGAATAATATGCTATATATACATTTGTGGAAGAACAAGTGCCTCATGCAGACCAGTATATCCCGAATATGAAATATCTCATATATATATATATATATATATATACACACACACAACATATTATTGTTCATAAATACATAACTAGAACTTGGGAGAATACAGAATAATATACCATGAAAAAGCAACATTAATAGAACAAAATCAGTCATATGTATATATATAAAAAAACCATAAGTACATAGCGATATCACCATCAACAACTGCAATCTCAGAGAGTTCATGGAAGCTATATATATGTAGCTGTGGATTTCCATTTTCCACTTCTGGGTGTCAATCATCAACCATAAACGATCTGACCCACAATGGGACATCACCAAAAAAAAAAAAATCAGAGCTATGAAAAAATTACCCACATAATTCACGATGATTTAGGGTTAATTTTTGCCAAATTCTTGGCGATTTGAGCCAATGACTGCAAGTTGCACCGGACAATTGTGTCAACGAACACCATCGTCTCTTCCTTCGTGTTGCCCACCGGTACATCAACTACATATGATTCAACCACAACTGTCCCATTACCACTCGGCGACGAGTGTAGAGTGGTCACAGACCGGTAATTGTTGAGCCGGTGATCGCCGCCGACGATCTTGAAGCTCATAACATGCCTCTCGTCGTCGAGGATTTCGAGAAGTTCGGTGCTCGAAGCCGCCGGAAGTCCGGACACCACGCGGACTTCCCTGAGAGTGCCGACGTTGCCGTTGCCAACGATGACGTCGCAGCTCTTGAGGAAGTGCTTGTAGGCCTGGGGGTTGTCGAAACGGCGGACGACGGACCACACGGCCGATATTGGGGCGGAGATGGTCCGTACCACCGCGGAGCAGCACTGGTTGGGTCCGACGGCGTGGGTGTGGTCGCGTGAGATGTTGTCAGGTACAGTAATGGAGAGAGGGACGCGCCATGTGGTTTGACACTGTTTGTAACAGTCTATGGCAGCTGTGGTGGTGGCGGTGGCGGTGGCGGTGGCGGAGTTGGCTGTCTTGATTCTGTGGAGTTGAAGAGAGGAAGGCATTTCTTTCGTGTCTCTCTCTCTTGTCACTCTTCTTGGAAAGACGGCTAACGATAGGCGTTAGTGATAAAGATGTTACACATATATATAAATATATGCGTGTGTGAGAGAGGATTCAGTTATACTGCATCCAACGACTATGATCATTCACACTAATTGAATTCACCTGTGTGAGTAATCATAACCGTTCAAAGAATCAGAACCGATATATATCTATATATATATATATATATATATTATAGAGAGACGGTGGGACTATGGGAGAGATTTTCTTTGACAACTTGTATTAGTTTTGCTGTTTCTTCGAAGAAAAGTTTGTAGAGTGGACTGGAGCTAATCTTATCACACGGCTTACGCCGGACTAGTTGCAAGTGGGTCGTCAACTTGCAACTTGTTTGGACGCAGACATGAAAACAGATGCCCCTTTGTTTCTGTTTTATTACGCTAATTGCCACTCTACAGTCTACATTAACGTTACGTATGGAATGACTTTCAATGCCATTTGAATCTGTATTGCGCTCAAGTGGGAGGCGACGCCTGGTCGGACTAATTCTCTTTACTTCTGCTTCTGTTTCAATTTAATAATTCATTTTCAGCCGTGAATATTTATTTTAATGTATATTATCATGTTGAAAATTTTTAAAAATTCAAATTATTCAATCTCACTTTAACATATATTTTGAAACACTAAAAAAACATTATGATACTATTGTTTATCACGAGAGTATTGAGGTAGACTCAACATGATGCGTGTATGGCATTAAAAAATGAGTTTCGGAGTGTTTCAAAATTACGTAAAAGATTGTAAAATGAGGGAGAGAGTTGAAAGATTTTAGAATGAGTTTGTAAATATGTATAGAAAGTATACAATATTATTATAGAAACAATGTTTATAAACAGATAATAGTCTATCGATCATTTGTAACCAACCAATTGTAAGAGTGAGAGAAACTATTTGAATAATAAGAGAATATTTACTAGCGTGACTGTAATAGAGAAATTATAGGATAAAATGTTAAGGTGGGGGTGGAATTTAGATATTTTTTCGGCAATGATTAAGTGATGAAAATTTATCGGTGTAATTAGGTGGAGTATATCACAATAATCTTGACATATCTTATCCACAAAGATTTTAAAATAAAATAATTTTTATTTTTCACTGATTGTGATATTATTATGATTATTTTAATATGATTTAGTTTCTCCCAATTAAATCTTTTTTATTTAACTTAATTAATACAACAAAATTATTTTCGTATGCAATAAATCATTTACGATTAACTTACCAAAAAAAATTTTATTCACTCGCAAAAAAAAATTTATATATCATTCAAAAGCCAAAAAAAAAAAATATATACTCCGTGTTGCATCTCCCTTATAGACTAAAGGCCTCAAATATTTAGAATAAAAGTGCATGCAGTTTTAATTTGACAACATAATAAATTGACACTAATACAAAGAGGAAATATTATACTTAAAAATATATAACACTTGGTTTAATAAATATAATATAATAGAGAAAATAGCTTTTAATAAAAAATTATAGAAAAAAAATGTTTAACCAGCTCCATTTATATATAAATGATAATAAAATAAAATAAAAAGATAAATCCCATTTATATAAGATAAAAGCCAAAGATATATGTTGATGAAGTGAAATTGAATAGTTTACCCCTGATTTTTAGTATTAATTAAAATTTTGTGATGTACAACCACACGTATGTGTGTATGTGTGTTTATAAGTGTAGGATTTTATGTTTGGTAATCTATAATTAAAAGAAGTGAAGCCGCAAAGTTAGATCAATGTATATTCCACATTATAAAAGGGGGTTTATTTAAATTTCTAAAAACTATACCTACTTCGTTTATTTAATAAGATTTAGACATAGAGTAACGTTTGATAAAAATTGTAAAAAACTATAAACTTGGCAATGATAAATTTTAGTATTTTATTTAAAATAATGAAAAATTTGAAAGGAACTTGCATTTAAAAATTTTAAAGATAAAGTTTCAAAATCATTACCAAGGACATAAGGTCAAATCACTTCTAAGGTCCACCCGACCAACTAACTGGTAAATTAGCCTTTACTATCGTGGCAAATTTCCAACCAAGGTATTGGCCTGCCACTATCTTAATTGTTCTCTTTATCCTATTTTATTTTAAATTTGTGCTAGTGAGAATGTACACCATCTCTCGTTAGTTAGTGATATAAACTAATAATAAATATATATATTATTTTTAATTATTAAATTAAATATAATGGGTAAATATTCACTTACAAAATTACAAAATGATAATTTATTATTGATCCATATCACTAGTGAGAATGGTGTAGATCATCACTAGTAAAGACCTAAGTATTATTTTTATTTTAAATGACATATTCGGAACTGTAATTATTTAAAATTGGACGAGGTAGTACTTATTTTGGACAGACATTTATTATAAGAAGTTGTATACTAAAAAAGTAAGGGTAGTTTAGTAACTTCACCATCAACTAATCTTGTACTTGGTTACCCTACCATCATCAACTTTAATTCTCTCACCATCCAGGGAAAAAACAACCTTTAACCATCATTTATTTAAATTAATTTACTATTTTGCAGTACATCTTTTACGCGATTCCAAACCCATAAACTCTTCTTTTTTGACCTTTAACCATTTCTCTATTGCTCCACACTCCCTTGATTTCCATCAACAACTTGGTACCCTTTTTCTTTTTTAACATGTTGGAACCTAGCATTCACATTATGTTCATACAAAGAAGACCTATCAACTTGGAGGTCTCCATGAAATCAAACCCTTGACTAGCAGCCTCCATCCGCCCTTTCCTAAAACTTAATATATAATTGGTTACTAATCTCCCACTATTCTAATTTTTTTTTTTTTTCATTTTTCAATAAGTTAGATTTTGTTGAAAATTTAAAAAAATATGTATATTCAAACTATGTTTGGAAAAATTTTGAACTAAATTTTCTTGAATTTCAGTCTCAATTCGAAGACGCCAATTCGATACTTTTATACGCTGCATCAAGAGTAAAATTGCTTCATTATGACCTCAATGACACGGATTCAAAAATGGAGACAATTTTTCCATGCGAATGTAAAGTTACATACATCTAACCCTCCTCAAACCCTACAATGACCGAAGTCTCATACACTCAAACTGGCACGGACCCATGAAGCACGAAGGGCGGGGGCAGCCGCCCCCACTGAAGTGTTTTTTATTTACAAAATTTTCTATATATTTTGTAAAAATCTTTAAAATATCCTTATTTTTTATAAAAATTTCATATATGTCCCCACAATTTCTAATGATACCCATCATAAATTATTGTTGTTCAAAATCACCGTCTCATATCATTTATTTTTTGCATTTACAGACACAGGGCAATAAAGTCATGGTACTAGATACAAGTTGAATAGAAAATTAACAATGATTCAAGGAAAACTTTGTTGCTTGTCATGCCTCAACAAAAACAATGTTGATACCTTATTTGGAAGGTACCATTTGTAATTTCTAGAATTGTCAACTTGAGCTAAGCAGGTTGTGAAGATGAACTTTCAAGTTATCTATTGGAACTGTTGAGCACAAGTTGCAATTTCCCGCGTAAAACAAAATGTTTGCATAGATAAAAACGTTCCCATTAAAAGACAACTATATTCCAACTTAATTCTTTTATATTCTGATTATATATCATGTAAAAAAACTAAGTATAAGTGAGGGTTAAATTTATCAAATGTTCCTACCTCAATGTGCATTGTATGTAGTACAAGGAACATCTATTCATGCATAATTCAACAAATTAAAAAATAAAAATAATACTATTTTGGTAGCAAAAATTATATTTTAAAATTCTACCTGAACAAATACCAATTAAAAATATCTGAACCGGCCTGGTTGACTCATAGGGCCAACATGCTCAACTTGGAAATATCATACTACTTAGCTGAGGAAATGAATCATTTATAGGACCAATGGGATGGGAAAGAGAGGATAGAGATGGGAAAAGTTTTCTTCAAGTTGAAATGTTTAATTTGATTTTTTCCCACTAGATATGTTTGTTGGAGGAAGCTTCTACCAAGAAAAAATAAAAAAAATAAATTAAAGAATCTTTGGTTGTGTTTAAACTATTAATCCGTACTTAATCCGACATGATTATATTATAAGCATTTGTTACATGTTGGGCTTATTTTGGAAGTTTAGATTTTAAAATTTTGAGCGTGACATTATGATTATTATTATTTTTTTAATCTCAGCCCATGGTTTTATGACTCTATCCATGTGTGTTTAATTAATATATTGTAATACAATGGATGGGAAATTGTATAAGGTTAAAGTTAAACTATGCAATTGGAGATTATTATATAATTTTTTTTTATTATTCTGGCAATGGTTAGTGGGTTTAGAAAGTTATATGTTAAAGGGGAGGAGAAATAATACTAATGGGTTTCGAATACAGACCAAATACCCCAAACAATAAACGGTCTATCGTTGAACTAGCCCCGCACCTGCAATTATTATATAAAAGTCACTAATTGTGAAAAATTATTTGATGGTAACACTTGATGAATCAGTTAAATACAAATCGTCGGATTGAGAAAATGATCCCACAAAATTATATTAATAAATAATAAAATTTTATGATCGAAGGGTTCTCATTGAATTAGTCTACTAAATGTCAAAAAGACCAAAATTATCTAATAATTTCTCCACCAATTGTTAGTAGTCTATTGATTAACATTCTAAATATATCAACCGAATGACTTCCCTATGAACGTGAGACTCTGGCCCAAATTTGATATTTTTATTTTATATACTGTATTACTGTTGATATAAGAATAGTCACATTTATTGTTAATAATCATGTCTGTCTAATGGTGACTTTCAGATTCAAATTAGTAAGTGCTCAATCCTCATTCGAGATTTTGTGTACTAAAATTCTTTCAGTGACAAACTATACACATTTCTTTGCTAACAACATACTCAGATTATTTAGTTATATCATGGAGGGGTTTATGTATGGATCCTAATAATAAAGTCAGATTGAATTAGAACAAATAATACTTTAAA